GGGTAAATGAGGACACAGATTGTAGTGTGAAGAGCTTTGAGTGTCCTGGTTGGATAGAAAGGTTCTGTAAAAGTACAGTTCATTTACCATATTCTGAAATCTACTCAGCATACCTGCTCTGTCTTTGTCCTCTAATGCTTATTGTAACATTCAGGCATAATTTGCTAATTTTAGCTTTCAGCTACTGAGGCTGCAGTAGCTTGGTGCTCAGTGCTGCAGTCGTATAATGTCAAGGCTACAGGTTTAAGCCCAGGTTGTCTCATAAAGAGCACTGGCGTCAAACAAATCCAAAATCTATGTGCAAATCTGCTTGTTGTGGTGCAGAAAGCAGCAGCCAAAAGAAAAACATTAGCTTTTTCCAATTCAACCTTTTACCTGCAGTTTTGCTAATATTAACTTTTAGTTACAGTATTGCCATTTTTAGCTTTTAGCTACTGTGTTGCTTGCTCATTTTAGCTCAGTTTTGCTTGTTTTGTCTTTTTCWAAATGAGTTTCAGATTCTTCAACAGATCTCAGCAAAGTCAGCATTCAAATGTTCAACTTGTAGAAAAGGCTACTTTCTAGAGTTTTGTCTTAGAGTTTGTTACCTGTAGCTGTAAAGGCACGTGTCAGACTGGGGCGTCCCACATGGGGACAAGTCTTTGGATGAACCGGGCTCCCGCTTCACTTTGCTGACAGGTGGTCCATGAAACATCACTGCAATTCACAAAAAGAAAATAAATTTTAAAAAATCTGTTTAAGGTGCAAACTCTCCTTATATTACCCCATAGATTGCACTTTAAAAAAAACGAGACTTACAGGTTCAATTAGAATTTAAAAATGTGGGTGTGGTATGTTAAAATTTATAAAAAGTAATAGAAACTCTAAAGCATCACCCACGAGACATCCAGTGATCTTTCATATAAATTGGCCTCAGTACCCGTGCTATAAAAGGCAGGAAATCGTGCAACTACTGTTAGCAAAATATCTTCTGAAAGAAAAAACAACTGATTAATAACTTTTGGAGTCAAGTAAACACAAAAATGACTGTAACTCAGTTTTACAGATATTCAGATAAAATTTGGGGTGGCTGTAGTTGAGTCATTCCCAAAATATAATWCAAGCACATACTGATCACACAAGAGTTTTGTTAAAAACTGATACGTATTCCTTCAAGGAGTGCTAGTTTCATTACAGATGAATGTTGTGTTTTTTAGTGTACCTTTAAAATATAAATTTTAGTACAAAACATATCAAAAATAAAAGTTGCCCTCATTTAAAAAGCCGCTGTTTAAACTTGAGTCATTGTCCAAGTTGGTACAACTTCTTAAGTCAAGTTGTTTYTTTGTTTTACCTTCTAGTCTCTTTTTTCATGGAGTTTGCCCTAAACAAGAAGTACTATCTGATCTCACCTTTCCTGGAAATAAACGTTTGGCTTGTCAACTCGCCGCTGACGCAAACCAGCCACAAACGTTTCATCTGTGACACGTTCGCTGTCAGCTTTACGACCCAAACATGAAGCAACTCTGTCGAGGGAGCTACTGTTATTAAGGCAATAAAAATGCTCACTATGTGTTTGGCAGCTGTACTTYATGTCCTATTTTCACTCTGTGCTTATCTGTGAAAGTTGTGGGCTTTTTTTTTTTTTTTTTGTATATAGGCTTGGTGCATGGAGGTAATGTTACAAATCTTCCAACCGGTCAACACAACTGCTGTCATTRATTTGGTAAATATTGTGTGAGCATGTCCAGGTTTATGCCACAATAAAACTCATGTTAGATGCAAATATATTTACAGCAGGCTTAGCCAGTTTAGATCTAAAAAAACCCAAAGCGGTCCTAAAATATATATATATATTTTTTTTTCTATTTTTACTGCTGCCTAAAAAGATAACTGTCACATATTTGTTTCACTTTTCATTTTGGTTTTTATACCCATTCAAAAAAAGCTCCTTCTCTCCGACTCAAACACCCACTCACAGTAAATATAAATAAAACTGTCATGTCTTTGAAGCCTTTTTTGAAGCCTGAGTAGGCAGGGCTGTATTTTGTGGGTCTATTTTCAGCTGTGCGTGAATTCATTTGCAATTTGTACCGACAGACTGAGTCAAAACAAACAGTAACCAGTAAAAAACGAACAAAATGACTCATGTTTTCAATAGTCCATGAATAAAAATTGAGATTTTTGACCTAATTATATGTGATAAATGATACTTTGAACTGCAAAAAAATGTTTGCAAGTTAAATTCATTCTAACTTTTTGTTTTACTTACATTTTTTTTGTCAGTGATTCACTGCTAAACACTCATACCATCAGGATACATGAATGAAAAATGTGTAGTTCTACAAGATGTGAGATACATAAACACACACACACTATATACAGTATATAAATACACAGATATGGGAGGAGAAATAGCTACTCACAGTTAGTGGACTGGAAATCAGGGACAAACTGTTCGTCATCAGGAACCTGAGCTGTCAGACGACAGAAGACGAGATGATTAAAGACTTGCTAAGTCTAAAATTAACAATTCAGGCGAAGAGCTCGGTTGTATTTAGAGTAATTGGCTTATTGCAAGCTGTCAGTTTTTATTTTAAGATGTTTTACCTTCTGCGATCCATATTTCTTGGAGCTGACTCAGATCTTGAAAAAGCTCTGTAAGAGTCATAAATATCATCATATGGTTAACCCTTGTGTCTCATAGCTTCAAAAAATAAAAACAAGTTGCTGAATGTCTCAAATCTCAGTATTTATTGTGCAAATTCTGATTCAGCATTCACACTATTGACAGTATTCATACGATCAAAGCATTCTGACGCTACAGCTCTTGTTTTTATGGTTTTCAAAATATTTAACATAATTATTTTTTTTCCCTATAAAAATGCATTAAGATCTCTTTGTCTTCAAAAACATTCTTCTCTTTGGAATCTGCTTCAGTGTACYTGTACTTATGCTACTTTTAGTGTTTAGCTATGGTTCTGCTACTTTTAGCCTCCAGCTATCCTTATTAGCTATAACTGTATTTATTCGTGTATGATTCTAGAAATTAAACCATAAAAATCATCCATAAAGCAGGGGGGCGGGGTAGTATTATACATAGAGTAAAGTTTGACACGCATAGCGAGGCATATAAACAGTAGTTGTTTACTCATCGAAGTAAGAGGAGGAAAAACGTGTTTTCTTTTTCTTGTTAGCCGCAGCGATTGAAAAAAAAAGATTTGGTGTTTAGCTGCATGTTCTGATAAATCCATCTCACTAATTAACAACCGGCCTCTGCTCTGGTCTGGAAGTGGATTGTGTTTTCAGTGACACACAGAACCAGAAACTTCTGCTGCACGTCCTCCACAGCTCTGCAGCAAAACACGCCCACACAAGTGTGTCTCCCTAAATAATGTGTCACCACCAGAGGGCGCACCGCAAAGGTTTCAAAATCCTGAAGTCTGTCTGAAATGAGTGGTGGCTTCGTGCATGGTGATTAGATTTTTARGCTTTTTAAGCTCAAAAATGATGATCGTTTTATCCTAAATACAGTAATACTTTTGTGTAGCCTTTTTCTACTTTAGTATAATTGTCCTGTAAGTTTTACCAGACTTTTTCATATGTTTGGCTTTAATCTTTTACTTTTAGTTTACATTTTGCTAATTTCTTACTTTCATTCAGTAACATTAGCTACTTCTAGGTAGTCTATTGCTATTCTTAACTAGCCTTTTGCAAGTTTTAGCTGACCTTTTGTTACTTTCAGCTAGCCTTTTTCAGCTTTAGCTAGCAGTTTGCTATATTCCGCTTTTCTCTAGCCTATTCGCTACTTATATTACACCTTTAGCTGTTTMTGGCTTTTATTTAGCCTTTTGCTACTTTAGGTAGCATTTCCCTACTTTTAGCTAAAATTTTGCTGTTTTAGGTAACAGTTGGCTACATTCTGATTTTATCTAAACTGTTTCCTATTTTTATCTAACCTTCTGCTACTTTTAGCTTTTATCTAACCTGTTATAAATTTAGCCAGATTTCACTACTTTTGGGTAGATTTTTGCTATGTTTAATTAGTTTTTGTTATTTTAGCTTGAAACTAGTCTTTTGCATTTTTTGGATTCATCTAACCCTTTGTTATTTTAGATAGCTTTTTGATTTTTTTTCTTTTAGCTGGTCTAGTGATCTGTATTTAGCTGTTAGCTGGTGTTATGCTTCCTTTCGCTTTATGAACTCAGTTTCAGTTTTTTAATGTCTGTAATTATTATTTGTCGTGTTTCATTTTGTACCTTCTGTGTCCTGAGCCAGCTCAGTGTCGTAAAACTTCCTCCGTCTGTCYTTGAGACACTTCTCTTCCTCTGGGTGACAATTCTACAGCAGCAGACATCAGAAAACAACTCAGACTTCACTTCCTTTGCTTTGTCAGCGTGCACAGAAAGCAATAACTACATAGGACTTAAACGTCAGATTAAAAAAACTCACACTCTCGGGCACCACAAAAGGGACCTGCTGGTCATAAAAGCCATCCATGTTGCTGCTGCCTTCACCCTGGAGAAATAAAAGGAGGAGCAATTATTATTAGAGAAATATTTTAAAGCATCGGATTTACTGCGGGAGATTTATTTTCCCACCAAGAGAACCGTTCAACCCATCATCTCTTTCATGGCACTCAATTTGTTTGTTTCTAACTTCAATGACCTGAAAAAAGAAGAGAGGCTTTTACAGCTCTGTTGATAATTAAAGTGCTAAATGACGCGAATGGTGAGCGAATCAGAGATGTTGGAAAAGMTGGATAAGCAGAGAGCAATAAAATGTGACGTCTTCTCCCGTGGCTGCACCTTAACATGCTCAATCCATSAATGAGACAAAGCCGAGGCGCTGATGAACACGAGGCAAATATTTGTTTCTTTTCAAAACCTGGATAAAGAACAAACAGAAAGCTGTCCGACACATCCAGGGGTTCGGAAAATGTTCAAATTTTGTTTCAAAACAACTAAACCTGCACATATAATTTCATTTATTTACTTGTGTTTTGTATTTTACTGTATGATGCTCAGTTGGGAGTTTTGTCCAAAACTCAGAACAAGCTTCACGCATTCTAACAA